CTATGATTCTATATGCCATATAGGGCTTTATAGGTCATGACCGGCACTTTGAATTGTGTCTAGAAATGAACTGGTTAGCCAGTGAAGCTGTTTCAACAAGGCGGTTATATGCTTCCTATAACTGGCCCCAGTTGGCATTCTGGCCACTACATTTTGAACCTGTGGCAGACCATGTAGAGTTTGTTACAGTAGTCCAAATAGGATGTAATCAAGGCATGTGTCATTGTAACCAAATCTGACATATCAAGGAATGATCACACCTGGAACACTAGTTTTATATGAGCAAATGCATTCTTGGCTGCTGTTGAAAACTGGGCATCCAGGTTCAGAGAGAACACCCAAGCTGTAAGCCTATGACTTCAGGGGGAGTGTAACCCCATCCAACACAGGCCAAGACCCTATTCCCTGAGCTGCCTGTCTACTGACCAGGAGCACCTCTGTCTTGTTTGGGTTAAGTTTCAATTTGTTTCCTCTTATCCAGTCCATTATTGATAACAGGCATTGGCTCAATACCAAGTATCAATAGCTTCCTTGGAATCAGATGGAAAGGATGACATCAGAATACTGGTGACATTGCACCTCCAAAGCTCAGTGTGGCCTCTCTAAGTGGTTTCATATAGATCAGTAGTTCCCAAACTTTGGTCCTCCAGCTATTTGGGACTTCAGATCCCAGAAGCCCCAGCCAGCTTGGCTAATTGTCAGGTATTCTGGGAGCTGAAGTTCAAACTATCTGAAGGATTGAACTTTGGGAATCATTGATATAGATATTAATGAGCATGAAGGTCAAAACAGAACCCTATGGGAACTTATAGGCCAATGGCCAAGGAGTCAAACATGAACCCCACAGCACCACCTTCTGAGTTTGCATCTCCAAGAAAGACTGGAGCCATTGTATAACAGTGTCCTGAGTCCCATCACATAGAAGTGGCCCAGAAGGATATCATGGTTGATGATATTGAAATCCACTGAGAGGTACAGCAGAACCAATAGGGACACACTCCTCTTGTCCAGTTCCCTGTGTAGGTCACCCACTGAGGCAGCCAAAGCCATCTCCATCCCGTAACCAGGCCTGAAGCTAAACTGAAGTATGTCTAGATTATGCTGACTTCCCAATAGAATTCCAACCATAATTTTTGGTAAATGAATTATTTGTGTGGTAGAGGTAAGTATCTGTTGTTGTTGTGTGTTTTCAAGTTATTTCTGACTTATGGTGGCCCTAAGATGACACTTTTATGGAGTTTTCTTGGCAAAATTTGTTCATAGGAGTTTTGCCATTGCCTTCCCCTTAGACGAAGAGCATGTGACTTGCTTATGATCACCCAGTGGGTTTCATGGCCGAGCGGGGAATTGAACCTTGGCCTCTAGAGTCATAATCCAGCACTCAAATCACTATGCCATGCTGGCTCTACACTACATAATTAAATATCCATGTGACAAATACATAATATATATACATAAATAGCTACACCACGAATGTTTTTCTTTTCAAGATGGGAAGCCAAGTAATATTGAAATTCACAGTTTCTTCATCCATAGGAATGCAATTGTACTGGGATGTAATTGAACTTGTAAGTCCAGGCAGAAGATTTTTCAGTCTATAATAAATGTGTTTGTGTTTTGTTTTTGAAAAAAAAAAAGGTTTTCAAAAGAAGAAGTAAAAATGGGCATGTTAGATAAGAATTTTCTCTCTCATCTCAACTAAAAGGAAATGCAGAATGGGGGCAGAGAATAATAATAATAATAATAATAATAATAATAATAATAATAA